GCCTCCAAGCCGCCGACAAGTTCGCATTCCACGTGGCAGAATTGGTTGAGATGAGTTGCGTCATGGTCTTCCCCGCGGCAAGAGGTGCCGGCATAGTAGACGCCTTTTGGCACCTCTTGGAGCCGAAGGGCGTATTCGAGGAGAAATTGCTGCGAGTCGGCTAGGTAGGTTGGGTTATTGTTCAGTTGAATACTGACGGGTTGGGAGTCGGAGCCCAGGCCCATTGGTGAACTGATGCTGCCCGTGGTGAGGGGAACGACGAGGTACTCGTAATTCATTTTGTGGCGGAAAAAGTCTATGGAGGTGTGGAAGAGTGCGCTTTGAAGGCGTAGCATGGTGCGGTGCCAGGGGCTATGGAGAGCCTGCACCGCGTAGGTTTGGGGGTTTTGCCATAGCTTTGGCACGAGGTGTTTTTCTTCAGTTGTGCGTGGATTCTTCTCATCTTGGATGATTTCGGTTGTCTTAACATCAACCTTTTGCTTCTTCGATGTAAGGTAGAGATGTTCTAGAGCTTGGTGACGGGGTGTAACCAAATTCGATTGGATGCTGAGAACTTCCATGATTTGCAGAGTAACCTAAAAAGCGCTGTGTGAGAACTTTCTGTTCGATTCAGGGGCTTTCATCAGAGACGGTATTCAAGTAGTGTATATATTTTGGAGCTGCCTGACAAGAGTATCAAAAGCCGAGTGAGTATGCAAGGCCACCAGCACCGCACAAGCCGTGAGTGGACTAGAGGTCTTATCACGGATAATATATTTTAAATGATACAAAAGCGCGAATGGTTATATGTTTCCGATAACTACCTAGTGGAGGCCTTGCATAAATGGATCGGATTGAATAGGGCAAAATGAGACACAAACAAGATTAACTAGCATGGTACAAATTTGTGAAGTTTACGTATTTGATATGTGCAGTTTCCCTTTAATTTGAGCGATATTTGTAGAGTTGTGGTTTGAAATTCTTCGTTAGCATCCCAAATAGGAATTAGAACACGACGTGACCCTATAGGCTAACCGTAGCAACCTTCAAATACATAATCCTAGCGCGCCGTTCCTAACAAAGTTGGATAAAATTGTTAATCCTCATTTTGCTGAGCGCGCAACAAATACACTAAGGCAGAATTCGAATGCTGTAGTGACATTCGCTAGGTTTGCTACGTGAGCTATAAATACTTCGTAGTTTTAATCTATTCGATAGCTTATATAGCGGGTAATATCCTAGTAATGTAAGTAATTGTTAAAGCCTAGTCTTCGCATGCCTGCCAAGGAGATGCATGATCTTCAAACAAGCTAATTCCTATCATACACTTCCAAGGCAGGAAGTACTTGAAAATTGGACTTGAAGACAATAAAACGGTTCTTACCGAAATAAGGGGTCCAACGCCCAGAACAATCTTTAAAGAACAACCCGCTTGATCGAATGAAACACATCCATAGATGTTTTTGCGGCAGGGACTTCCTAAGTGTACACTAGAGGTAATTAGTAAGGGTGAGGATAGTGATAACTTAGATAAAGTAGGAGGGATTAGTATAGATTAGGAGGCCGCTAAGGAGTTAGGTGATAATTCGGCACTATATCTATTGCCTATTATTGATACTATAAGTTAAGCACGCCCCTAAAGAGATCGTAAGCGGCGTAGGGATAAAGAACTATACGAGTATACTAGATAGTTTAATTGTAGGATACTATAATTACCCCAATTTCTAACCGCCGTTATTTAGCTAATACTAGCTAAATAACCCTATATTCTGACCGCTGTTAAAAAGCTAATAGTAGCTAAATAATCATATATTCTGACCGCCGTTAGAAATCTAGTACTAGCTAAATAACCCTATATTCTGACCTCCCAAGAGGCTATCTACCTCTTCGTATACCCAGAGACCCGCACAGGGGCCGGATATGATCCCAGGGACTTCTCTCCGGGGAGCACAACGTGTAGTTGGCTGATTACCGCTACAATCCGTAACCCCGTTGCCATACGAACCAGCCGCGCGCCCAATTCAAATTCGTCTTTCCGTTAACGAGGTAAAACGACTATCGACTCGTTGATGCGATTATCAAAGTCTGATTGCGACGGCCCTCACGGTGTAAGCAATCCAATGGAAGCATATGGATTCGTTTCTAAGATTATGCCATGCAGTATGTCGTGTCTTCTCGGGAGAACAGGCTCAGAACATAAGTTCTAACATTGATGTGGAAAACTGCGTAATTTATCCAAGGCCCCGTCATGAAACGAGGGGATGATTTCTGGATTTGCAAAGGTTTTGACTTCGATGAAAAAGCTGTTTCTTCAGCATTGTGCATCAATGCACCGACCTTTATGAATCATTTACTCCTTCCGTAAAATCTTCCGGCAGATTGCCATTCTCTGATCAAGCGAGGTTTTTTGATGGCGAACCTGAGATAATCAATTGATCAAGTATGGTGGTGCGGAATTGCGGGGTCGATTGTTCCAGTGCTTGGTGGTTCTCGGGATGTCTCAACGGTACTCAGGGTTGAGAGGCGGAGGGCGCTGATTTGCAGCGACTGCTTGCTCAGTCGTCAGGTTCAGATACGAGCCTAAGAGATCGTCGATGAGGCCTTTTTGCCATTGGATACTTGTGGCACGGCGCAAACCTGCAGTCACCAGGGGAGCAAGCCACGATGGAACAGAGCAGCGACCAGGCAGCACCAAAGAAGCGGGTCACGAACGAGGCTCCAGGACAAGGCATTGTCGATGTGGTAAATATCGAATCGAGGGGGAAAGAAGAAAACCAAGGGGAACATACAGAGAACAATCCATTTGAAGACTATGCCACCTGTGCGGAGAAAAAAGAATTAGACAAAATATGGCCGAGTTCCATCTTCTCAGTCAGGAGGATATACGCTCTAAGTGACCTATATAGCTTATCTAGGCTCTCTTAGGTATAAGAAGGCCCCTTTCCTTTACTTCCTCGCGCAACATCTTCTAGAGTTAAGGAACAGCTATTTCTCCCGACGTAGGCGTAGGCCCTTATAATTAAGTGCTGCCTTTCCGCACAATTAAGAACCGATATCATCACTAGCCGTCCAATTTTACTTTTTTTCCCTTGCGCTAAATGACTATACCACCGTAGAAAGTCTTTGATGAGTATATGATCTAGAATCGCATAGCATGGCCCTAGGTTATAGCCCTCGATTCCATATTATTCAACGAACCTAATAGCAAGTTAGTAGCTCATTCGCCGGGTACTTGTCATATACAATTGTATAGCAACTCACTTCATCTAAAGATTAACAGCTTTACAGTATATATTCTTAGTCTTAGGTAACCTTTTAATCTTTTACTCGGATAGCATCATCTTTTATATAAGCACCGAAGACATAGCCGCTTTCTACCAATTATTTGCAGCGCTTCTCTTCGGCGATTTCTTCTTTTTTAGAAAAGAAGAGTTTTCTACCTATAGCTTGATGGATTCCTATACAATGCAAAGAGGGGCGAAAAGCCGAAACGATAAGGTAGATAACTAAGAGAACTATCTTATAGGTCTATAGCAGGGAAATAGTTCTAATTTATAATTTAGTAAATTAGGATAACCTAAGATTTTACTCCTATATCGCCCCGTTTTAGATGATCTCGGTACCTTCTAATTTTACGTTGTGTAATAGTACGTTAGTTTTTAAGAGGGGAACGAGACTAGAAGATCGTATACCTCAAGAAATCGGGGCATGGTAAGAAGTGAGAGCTATCGAAAAGTGATCGCAAAATAAACAATATTGTAGGGCAAAGTGCTCCTTAGGTATAGACTAAGTGTAGACTGAGTGCTCAATGGATGGATGCCTCCCGAGGTCTGATCAGTCTGAGTAATCAGTGTGTAATCAGTGAGTACTCCCGAGGTCAATCACAATTACTAAACGATCAGTGAGCGCTTATTAGACCTCACTGTTTTATCACGTGATATATTTGAGCAGCTCACTAAGTCTGAGCCCGGACTGGAATTTACTCAGTGAGCCTGACTCTGAGCGCCCTCATAAAAGCGGCGGCAGCTAAGATAGGAGAGCCTCACCCGGCAGAGGAAATATGTTACGTACAGTGACCTAGGTATTGACGTTATCACACGCTAGTGTCATCTATTATCCGATCAGTCTCGTCCCGTGCCTATTAATTTAATCCTGACATCTTCTTGCTTATAATTTTCGGATCTTTCTCATTCGCCTTTGCCCTTCGCCGTGACCGACAGTGGCCTCCGTGCAAGCATCGACCCGAAGTAAGGCTATTTCTCCCCTTACGCCAACATATGAAACCTGATGTCTCTTTAACATTCGAGAACCCACACAAGGAGTGGACCCCTTTATGATGAGGTCTGGGCCTTGAAAGCATCAACCATGCCACCCTACATGCGGCGTTGAGAAGGACTACGTCTGCCCGCAATAGCGGTGTATTCGGCCTTGATGCAGTCCTTTCAACCGTGATGCAGGCAGCTCTAATCTCGGTCACCGAAGCTGTTCTCAGGGTGATACAGAAGCAAAAGAGAAACTTAAGGGTATACCCCTCATGACAGCACCCCTCGCGAGGGGTTATTCCGTGAGGGGGATGCCAACTGACCATTGTGTGTCTCTTTTGATTCCAGAATGTCCGTCCGGGAGCCCGGAAGCCGGGTGTCGATCGGAAACACTAATCTCGATCCTATCTTGCCTTAATTTGAAGGATGTCACACGAAATATCCTTGAATATCTCAATTGAGGCCTGTTTACATCAATTGGGGAGTCCCGTAGTAAAGCGGTGCTACCCCATGGTTCCGGCCCACAAATTTACTTGATAATAACTGGAAATGCCCGCACGGGATTCCCGGTACTGACAAATCTCGGGAATAAAGTGGCAACATTCCCGAGAGAATTATTCCCGAAGAGTCTTTTCCGTTCTGTACAATGTAGGACTGGTTCAAATAATTCTTTTCGTTTTTCGTCACTTGTTTCTTTAAAGCTTAACCTTGGAACTCATTGTTTTTGTGCTCAACCAAATCCACGAATTGATACCTACCATGCCATCAACAAGCTTATGCCAAGATGAGGCATGCGCTCCATACAGCCTTATGGATGACTACAGCGAGGGAGCTCACCCACAAATCCTTGAAGGTCTTTTGCGGACAAACTCCACACAGCAAGTCACCTATGGAAACGATGAATACAGCACTTGTGCCCGGCAATTGATCCGAAACAAGATCGGTTGCACCGAGGACGAGGCAGATATCTTCTTTGTTCCCAGCGGAACCTCCGCAAACCTCATTTCAATCGCCAGCTGCCTAAGACCCTATGAGGCTGTAATTACTCTGGACTCGGGTCACATTGCCTGCAAAGAGGCAGGTGCGATCGAGGCAACCGGCCACAAACTTATTCTCGTGCCTGCAGTCGACGGCAAGATGACTCCCACCAATCTCCAAAAGGCGCTCCAGCAAAATCAATTCTACCCTCATATGGCCAAACCCCGGCTACTTTATATCTCTAATGCCTCCGAGACCGGCACTGTCTACACAAAACGCGAGCTGAGCAGCCTCTCCGCTATTTGCAAACAATCCAATCTCCTACTCTTCATGGACGGAGCACGAATCGGCACAGCCATCTGCTCAAGGAAGAACGATCTCACTCTACGGGAGATCTTCGACATGACCGATATCTTCTGGATTGGTGGCACCAAAGCCGGTGCTCTGATGGGAGAAGCAATTGTCGTCAAGAAGGACCTGGCCGACGGTTTCGTTTTCCACCTCAAACAACATGGCGCTTTGCTGGCCAAGGGCCGTATTCTTGGAGTTCAGTTCATGGAGCTCTTCCGGTCAGACTTGTTCTTTACACTGGCCACGCATGCCAATGAGATGGCCCAGAAGATCTCAACCAGCTTCGAGAAGTTGGGTTATAAGTTGGCTGCGGAGACGGAGACAAACCAGGTGTTTGTTGTCCTTCCTCAGCAATTGGTTCGGAGCCTGCAGAACAGATTCCGATTCTATGTTTGGGAGCAGCTTGATAATGGGGACTCCGTGATTCGGCTTGTGACGTCCTGGGCCACGGATGAGCTGGAAATTGATAACTTCAATGCGTGGGTGCAACAATGGACAGTGGCAACCAACATTTGAAGGGATTCGCCGTCCATTGGCTGTTACCTATAAGTAACTTTTATACGGTCTATAGTCTCACTATAGAGACACCCAATATTAATATAATTACAACAAGAAATCAAAATTCAGCCAAATCCATATCTAAATTTATCATAGATCCAAGTCAGCTGATCGCGCTAACCACATTCGGATACTAAGATATCCGCGTAACTTTGGCTCTGGCTTCCTCAGACGCATGTCCAACTGTTCAATTAATCGACATAAATAGTTAAATCAGTGCAATTGCGCTCCTACATTGATCCGATGGCTTAAGTTTGTCTTAATATACCCCCACGATACTTGGCAGCCCCTGCTTTTTTTCCCACGACCCACTCAACTCTTCCCCGTATGTACACTCGATGAGGCTGTCAATTTCGTGTGATGCTTGTCGGTAAGTTTATATCAGAACTCTTAGCCGTATTACCTTATCTGATTTTTTATGCAGGCAAGCAAAAGTCAAATGCGTCCATGAAGGGCAACCGCCCTGTCAGCGTTGCTTGAAGACCAAGAACCAAGGATGTAATCTGACAGATCCCCGCGCCTCGAGACAGAGGACGCGGAACAATACTGTCATATCCAGGACCCCAAGGAAACGTAAAGCATCATCCGCTCTATTCCCAGAGACTGGAGCTGCAGAAAGAAACACCCTTGAGAACGTCCCCGTGGCTCAAGACCTGTCCAAGGATCCCATCGCATCACTGTCACCGGCAACCGTCGTCAGTGCAGTGGAAACCTACAGAAAGAAGTTCCCAATTACTAATTTTCTTCATTACCCCTCTTTGATTTCCGACATATCATCCAACGTCCACTCGGTGGACTCTGTCTTTGTGGCCTCGGTCCTTTCCTTGTGCGTACGGTTTATGAGCAGCAATGAACTCGAAGAAGAGGAAATCTATGCCGATTATGCACGCAAAAACCTTGCCCAGCGCGTGCTTGAGGCCCCCTCGCTTTATCTTGCCCAGTCCCTCGTGATGATCTCATTTTACGAGTGGGGCACTGGGCGACCATATCAAGCTTGGATGTATAGCGGTATATATCGAATCCCCCAACTAATCGTGGAGCACTAGCTGACAAGAATCAGGCATGGCGACGTATATGATTCAATCCCTTCTGAAGATGGCAGATGATAGCATGGAACACAATCCTCAAGAGTTCCATGCATCCCAAACACAATACGAGCAGCTGGTCCGAACCTACTGGTGCTGCTTTGCGCAAGACTGCGAGCTGAGCTCCGGAGCCCGTCAGCACTTTGCGCTATCATTCTCCCAGATCTCAGTTCCTCTTCCTATCAGTGATCGGGACTTCACATTTAATCATACGCCAGCCAGCAGGTTGATGCCTGCTGATATGAATAAAGACTGTTTACTAGCGAAGGATCTTACGATTGAGCATGGTCTCACAATCGTCACTCGAGGATTTGACATATTCGTACGGATCCTAAGATTTGCGAACGAACACCGACGAGCACTGGCTTCTTTGTCTTCGAACGACTCGGTAATATCCCCGCTCCTCTTGACTTGGCAAGTCCTCAAGGAGGAACTGGATGAATGGAGGTCTCTTCAGGATGTAACCGTCCGGTTCCCAGCCACCAGCGTTCAGTCGCACGTGGCACTCGGGTATGGGGAGCTATTTGCGTATATCAATCTGGTTCATTGCATGAGGTATTTTTTCTTATTTGGCGCATCCCAGCCAACCATACTAACTCCGTTTCGTTCAGCATCCTTTTCCTCCACCGAGACCGCTTCTTATCCAACCTCAAGCCCCATTCCGACGTTTTCCACGACACAAATGATGACGCGCAGGGCGAACCCGATACGATCAAACAGCTATTTGAAGCTGCTCAGCAGATCGGGGGTATTCTCAATGCACTAGACGCCTCCGGTGCACCCGTGATGTCGCCATATTCCGGCTTCAGCGTCTTTGTCGCTGCTCATATCAACATGTACGGAACAATAGCCCCACAGCGATATCCGGGCGGCCTCAAACGGGCCGAAGAAGAAAAGGGTCGAAACCTTGTCTACCTAGAGCGACTAAGTAAACTCTGGCCCGTTGGTCGCAGCTGGGTGATTATTTCCAAACCCTATCTAGCCAAATAACTATCACAGCTAACCATAATCAGTGGCGAACGGTCCAAGAAGCAAATCGATTCTACGAAATAGTCAAGAATAATCAAGCCCACTCCGAGTCTGGACTGCACAGTCCCAGGAGATTCGCCCTCGCAGGCACCCTGGACGAATATGGTGACATCCGATCTCGTCCGAGCAGAGACGCGTATGCGACTAGGGCACGAACCTCTGACTCCCGCGATACTCATAGCTCTCATGCCCGTGGAGGATCATCGTCGCCTGGTCTTGGTGGTGAGACCACCTTCCTTGCTAGAGAGAATTCTGCGCTTGGTGGTCATCATGACTTTGAAACTGATATGTTTCAATGGCCATTTATTGATGGATCGTGGTCCCTTGGGTTTGATACGGGATTGGATGGATTATGGTCTAACTCGGGGTTATTTGACCCAAATCCGTCTCTTAGATGATGATACTATATTTTTTATTGGTATAGATATGTCGACAGGGCATTTGTCTACACCTCCTAAAAAGAAACTCCCATTTCAACATAATGTCGTCGGTCGGGATTCCATCGTATCCATACTGTAGATATATATTGCCGCAAATCTTTTTTTGCCTCTCATTTCTTTTTTCGAGGGAATAGCAATAAAAATATTCCGATTAAATAAACATTCAAATAAGGTTCAACCGGATTCGGAAAATGGTCACAATAATTATACAAACTTCAAATTTGTTATTATTTGGCATAAGTGTGCATGGATGGATAGTCTCGAATCGTGCTCATGAGTGGAGATTTCGCTCATGAGTTCAGATGGCCAAATCCTTACATCAACCAGCCAAGTGGCCGAGCAGTAACTCAGCCATCGCATCTTCCTTGGTCTAGTGGTGATGATTTCCGCTTGTCATTAACACCGATAAGCGCGGGAGACCGGGGTTCGATTCCCCGA